GACAAAAACTTTATAACCAACATCTAAATTGGACTGCTGTAGACGATTCCTCTCGTCTCGATAAACACGAAGCCTTTCCTGTAATGAAGAGACAGCAAGAAGCAAGTCAGCTTCGCTGTCTGTTAACGCTGAAACACCCAGCTTAGGGCATTCTAGTTTGATGTTTTCGTCTATGTTTACGCTAAATAAACGTAGAGCGATCTTTTCAGGGTCTTTTGGTTGCTTTGATTTAGGTAAACACTCCAATATTTCACCTCGAAGAAGTTGAGAAGGTATGGTTTTCTTCGAACCAAACCTGGCTTTTTCCACAACTCTGTCATTCAATAATATATATTTCTGTAGGCCGGTCTCCATATTTCATATAAAATGAGACTATTCACTACATTGATTTGATAGCCTGTGTGTACAAGTAATGGCGGAAGTAAACAAGCATCGATTCTGTTATTCACCACAGGAGGCCCAGTTTAACTTATAAACTTAGTCCAAAGTTTTAAAATAGTGATGAAATTAAATATAATTRCATGGTTATGAGCTCGAGAAAACAGGCTTGTGAAGGAATGGTTCACAGCTCTGACAGAGCCTAGGAAACACCAAATACTGAAGAAACTGTTATGTATTTTCCAGTACTGCAAACGTAGCGAGTAGGGACACTAACCTTGACAAATTCCTGTGCGGGATCCCTATGTGGTAGATGCCAGAAATATCTCGATAAGTGTTTGTCTTTCACAATGATTTTCGGAACCTGCATTGTGCTTATGTCCAGCGGGAATCACTTACGTTCAATCGACGTTTCTGTTCGATAGACTGTTTATATATCTCCTCAAGCAAGCAAGCAGAGTCTTCATTTTCACAATCATATCAAGCTTAATTTATCATTAGAAATATTCACAAATAACAACCACAAATAATCAAATGCTGTTAATTATGCCTTCTCGCATCACTTATTATGTAACAACAACATATAGTATAATAATCCATATCTGATGATTACTCAGAAGATTTTTCAGCATTGACTTATATTTTCTATCATTCTGAACAGCTCATTGATTTTAGCTTCAATGCTGTGACTGGCGACCCGTTGCATCATCCACTGTTCTTTAATACGCGTTTGGCATTCTAAACCGACTGCATGGATAGCGCAAATGARTAAATTATAATATAATTATGTCATTCCCCAACTGCCATTTCGGTCTCAGCTTTTATGGTCTATGTTTTTAAACCCGACAACGATTCTTCAATTGAGTGTATATGTTTTTTTAAATGAATCTTTCAGTAGGGTAATTATCATAAGAATAGCTTGGTTGCAAACCATTGAACTCCGAAGGGCTTCCAACAGATTTGGCACTGGGGTAGAACGAAAGATCAAACATCTTATGCAAATGTAAAGCCTACTAAACTTATGGTGTAAGCAAGCTGGAACAGACAAGCATTTAAGAGATAATTCTTTAGGGAGGAGGGGAGGGGAGGGGAGGGGATGGGAGTACATATTAGAAATTAAGTGTTTTCTTTGACGTGTGTAAACTCAACTGGATGGGAATCATGSTTGATGCACTATGTTGCCCATTTAAAGTTCCCAGGAATGTAATCTTGTAAATACTGCTGTTTGGCAACTTTTTTAATAAGGTCTCTATTTTAGTTTTTACAATGTCATGACATAACTGATTAGAGTG